TAGAGCATATTTCACCCTGCCCAACACTATTTGACTGCGAAGTTTCAATATCCACAGAAAGAGGAGGGTGTTTGTTGCGGTAGCAGATTTTGCTAAAATTAAAGTTGTTGAGGTCTACACTTATTTGCACCTTATGTGCGTTTTTCTCATCTGCTGTGCTCAGCATTGGCGCTCGTACACTTTAGGCACGACAAAAAGGAAAGAGATTTTTGAAGGGCCATCATCTGTGTTTTCAGTCGATTTTGAGTTCGTGCTCTTTGGAATATCTGGAACATGGTCAGATTGCAAAATAATAGTGTTAAATATTCAAGATACACCCACGCTCCAAATATAGAAATTTCGCATGATTAGATCTAGTGGGAAAGGAGTTACGACTGAAAAGTACGGCTGAAGAACCATTTCACCGAAGACATTTGGCTGCTGTATGTCGTTAATGTTTAATATGCGTTGTCGAATATATAAGTATGTAAACAAATCATATCACAGGCCTGTTCCGTGGTTGATCCCTGGACCGATACTCCCCCAAACCTACTGAGCCTTATATCTCTACAGGGTCGATTGAGTGATACCAGACTTGTTTGGCAGGAAAAAGCGTCAAATGTAAATCGGCTGGCCACCGCATGTCATTTTATGTATAGGGCACATTTAAATTTTGAGATGCACCCTCACATTCAACTTCCATTCCGGACTGTAGTGGCGTATTCAAAAAAGTTAACTCATTCCGGAAGAACGGAAGGGTTGTTTGGCTTCAGCGGATAACGAAGTGTAACTTTTTTTTACTTTGGTTACTTATTATTCTTACCTTTGCCTAACCCAGCAACCTCGTAAGGCGGAATATCTTCCATTTTCACTATTATCTGGACCAAGATTTTGCTAACTGCTGACGATCTTTAGTGTCTCAAAAACCCACTATCTTATCAGCAGCGGATGCCTGCCATACCGTGCTAAAACTGACCTGATAGCTCTCTATTCTCTGGCCACTTCGTCTAACTTCTGCAATGCTACTCTTTGTGCTTTTTGTTTATGTCTCTTGAGCCAAGAATCATGAGCCTTAAAACTGCCCAAGTTGGAAGACACATACTGACTGTATGCATGAAAACTATGAGATTTTAGAAATTTGATTACAAATCATCCTAAATGAAATATTATATACTTCCTGAGATAATCATACAGGGCTCCGCATCTGTTCACGTCCAAAGTATGCTATGGTGAGTTAAGGCTAAAATTAGATTGGTTGCATACTAATTACTTTGTCTGGTGCTTCGAGCTTCTGTTATAAACCTACCGCTTGAGTGAGCTGATTGATTCTGCGCCTATTCTCTAATCAACACTCTTGGATAATAGGTCAGTTAATAAGTTCAGGAGACAGCAGGCCAGCGAGTTGTAAACTGATCAAAGTATAATATTTGAACTAAGAAAACATATTTCAAACATAAAAATATGCTTGGCCTAGGTATCAGGCTCCCAACAGCGAAAAACACTCTGCACAAATAGGACAACGTTTCACACTCTGCGGTGCATCTCGTTGTTTTCATACCGTTCGGATGCCACCCATCCTAATGCTGCTCAACTTCTTTTAGTGAGCAGGAGGTGTTTTGCCTTACGAACTTGATAGCTCTGAATCTGTTCCAAATGCGTCCCAGGAGTTTCCCCTGGGATAGTCGCATCTGGCTGCTGTCTTTTTGGGAATCTGCAGTTCTTTTCTACTACAACTTTGCATGCCAAAACGGAAGTGGCCACAGCAAAGCGAAACCGTAACCTCTCACCCAGGACGGATTGCCAGTCCATTCCATATAAGGAAACTGTTATGCTGAGCTCTATTTTAGGCCGAATATACTTCGCTTTTGGCTTTCCCAATTCTGCAAATACACTCACAGAATGTTCGATTTCTCATCACGTTTGCATTTCCTGGCCAGTGGAGAACTGAAGTAATTTATGAGGGCTACATATACCTGATCAGCTGTTTCTCGAGTCCCTCATTACTTTTGGGTACTCATTGCGCCTACTGATCCGATTGTATTGAAAAACAATAAGGGCAACCTACTTTCGACTCTTCAGCCTAACAAACCAACGTGACTATCGGTTTCTGCTATGCCTAACCTCTAGTAGGCCTCACTCAGCAATCCAAAACGATGGCGAGCATTGTCATAAAACCGTTGAGTGGGTCAGAGAATCTCTGACATGATGGAACTCAGAACGATCCACCTGAAAAACACGCAAAAGGTTCGGCCTTACCCACTTCTTGCGAATGCACTATACAGAACAATGGTGGTGATGAGTTCTAGTGAATTACTATTTACTGCGAAGTACCAGCAGCCATGAATAAAGCAGCGCTTGTGAATAGCTCCCAGGAAGCTCTAGCAGTCCCTTGACAATGAAAAGAGGAGGTGAGCTTTTGGAAACAAGTGGACTTTCTCTCAACTGTACCGCATAAAACGCCTCCTAGAATTGTATCGAATAACCTTTCCTAATGTCTGGGGAAGTTGCTTTTAGTGCGCGTCTAATGCTCCTAGGAAAACTAGCTTGAGACCGAAAAATCACTGTAAATTCATGCGAAGGGCTTTCCAAAATGCTCCTCGCTGCTACCAGGCAAGATTTTGATGACCGCAACAACTGTTTCGCACGTGAAGTCAATGACGATAGATGGCTTTGTAATGGCAAAAACACAAAGTTTATAAAATCTGTTTTCCTGAGTAGATTTGCGGAACTGCGTCATAAGATCCATGCTGCATGCATCAATAAATTCGATCAAAGACAGCGAAGCATTAGTAAAAAATAAGATAGTCTCTCGATGATACTGTGTGCTCACAGCTCAGAGTAGGATTTCAAAGTTATAACAGTTATAATTGAAGCAACACTTCCAGAACCATTTCATGATTCAACACAATGGGAGAGGAGGCAATGCTCAGCACAGGAGCTTTTCTACTGGTCTACTCTTTTCCTCCAGTTGAGGATCGTCTCAAAATAAAAGGGAGGATACGTTTCAATAGATTAAACGGTGGCACAAGAAGAATAGTGGGCGGAGGTGACTGAGTAAAAGAAAAAGTTGTGCAAACCATCGCGGGGTCAGATATTTTGCCTAACATCCAAATAGTTTCTAACTGTTTTAGTAAAACATCTGACGACTATGAATATGCCTCTCTTGCGGGCCCAACCGATCATACGCTGCTTTTGAGGGCAAGGCTTGACATTTTGACCTTTAAAACTTTTTCGCAGACATCCTACTCCTTTCTATTTTGCTTTTTGCTGCTCACTCGAAGTGCCCTTACCTTACCATATTGCTGGCAATCCCGCACGATTTCTTTCATCCCATTCAACTCATATGGCTCACACTGAGTATTCTCTGTCGATTCAGAATGCGGCTCGCTCCGCTTCTCATAGTGGCCTTCGTCGGCTGTCTCCGGGCCGACGACGACGTACGTATGGACTGTCATCCCGAGCCAGACGCGATCCAGGAGAACTGCGAAGCCAGGAACTGTATATGGTTACCGCCACCAGATCAACAGGTACAAATCCTAAAGTGCTGTGTGGCAAGAATACAATTAGCGTTGTACTTTGAAGAGTAGTACTCTAGTGCATGAACAGACCAACTGTCTAGTCTACAAGAGAGTACTACTCTTCAGCGTACAATATTCGGACCAGTGCCAACTGTCGATCCTGGTACAGACGAGGAAAGCTTAGCTCTGGAACGTACGTCCAACGCATTAGCGAATGAAATCATTTCTCGTAGAGATGCTCTTTTCCTTTTGGATGCTTTCGACCTTAACGATATAACAACTAAAAGCAAACTGAAGAGTAGTCGATGGATTTGTCAAAAGATCCGGTCTTCGTAAGTGATCAAGACTTCTCGTCTGTGCCAAGTCTTCGTTAGCCGAAAGATAGAAGCCTTATGAGAAAGCCCATTTTGCAAAAAGGTTTTAAACGAGTATTGTGCTCTTTTCAGAGAACAATGCCCTGGTGTTACATGAAGAAGGGTATTGGTTACGTCAACGTTTCGTCTTCAGGCTCGGTGAGTGACTTTTCTTTTTGCCTCCTCACCAATCAGAAGTAGTTCGCTTTGGGCTTACTTCTCGATTTTTCATTCTCCTGCGCAAAATGTTTTCTTAGAAATCCGGTACCTTCAGTTGCCCTCGGCTACTTCGAGCAATAGACTTCTGATTATCTTCCCGGTGACTACATCCTCCCTTGCTCCATAAATATTGAGGCTTACAGGCGGTTACACTAAAGAAAAACAATGGTCCACGTAACCCATGGGGAGACGACATCGATCAAATCCAATTGAAAAGCAGCGCTATTGGGAAGACATTGAACGTGAAAATTTTTGTGGATGGACGGTACTTGTTGTCTTCTTGAGGAACACTTATTTCCGGATGAATATTGAACGTTTCAGGTACGATCCTCCTGTTGGTCTTCCAAAAAACCCCTCCGTTTCATCTGATACTCTTCAGGTACGTTTTGTTGAGCGCTGTGGCTCAAAATTAGTGTCATTTTTGACGGTAAAAATGATAATCGAAGGTTATGCTGGGGAAGCGCGATAGAATCCAAAATCTACATTGCATGGTGTCCAACGTAGGCCGTCGTGGCTCTCTTTGCCCTCAGATTTGGATGAGTGTAAATGAAGAGAAGGTCAAGAAAAGAGAAAAAAAGAGAGGCAAAAGTCGATAGAAAGGCGGGCAAAAACCTGAGACCTTATCCTATTCGTCAATAACCACGGAGCTCAAAGATACCTAACATTAATTGCAGTTCGATACTGGCATTTCCAACGATGTCTTCTACTTTGTGGTCAAACGAAAGTCAACAGGAAGACGTCTTTTCGACACCTCAATAGGTAAGTCCAGATCATTCGTTTATACTCGGCGCTTCGCATCTGATTTGTCGTAACTATTATTGTTGCTGACGCTTCAGGTGTATTTAAATCTGGGAACCATTACTTAAACCCACTCTAATTTCTAATAAAAATAAATAAAATAGAGGGTCATGAATTCGATTTGTGCAGTAGTGTCAAAAACATCACTTGTCACTTGCCTGCGATCCGGTATAATCAATGCAACTGTCAAACCCTTACTTCAGGATGTTTTATTACTTGAAGATTTCTAGAAAGAAGCAACAAAGAGCTTTCCAGGTGGATTGATATTTTCCGATAAGTTCCTACAAATCGCTACATATTTGCCATCGGATGCAATGTATGGATGGGGAGAAAACGTTCATCTGACACTGAAGGTTCTTTTCAGATGCATCATCTTCAATTAAAATAGAGTCATGAGATAATTTTAGCACAATTTTTCCACTTATCGTACATGGGGAATGCTGGCCAGAGATGAACCTCCAAACTCAGCTGGGCTGGACACCAAAAATCTTTACGGTAACGATATTCAATAGAAAAAACTTTTCAATGGGATCAATTGGCCTTTCAGGAGTACATCCTTTCTATATGATGCTCGAACCAGATGGCAATGCTCACGGTGTGTTTATTCTGAACAGCAATGCACAGGTATGAAATATTACCCAGATATTTGGGCAAAATGGAGTGCATACCAGGCCTAAAGGAACTTGTTCAGGAAGTAACAACAGCTCCGGGACCGGCACTGATCTATAGAACGATTGGTGGGAATTTGGACATGTACTTCTTCCCTGGACCAAGCCCTGAAGAAGTCACACAGCAATATTTGGCTCTTATCGGGACGCCTTTTCTCCCAGCCTACTGGGCGTTAGGCTATCAAGTGAGTGTCCAACAAACAAACCATATGTATTTCTACATCCTCCGTATTGGCTATCTCATCATGGTTCTAACTCTTTTTCAGATTTCGCGTTATGGCTACAAGGATGTTAATGAAATGAAGGAGACTATAGGTAGAAATATGAAGGCTGGTATTCCTTTGGATACAGCAGTCGCCGACATTGACTACATGGATCGTTATAAGGACTTCACGACAGGCAAGGTATGCTCTATGATCAGAATCAAGGGGGCCGTGCCAGGACACCCGAGAAAATGGGCCTAATCGTATTATTATTCCTCCCCGACCAACGTCTTGGGGAGTCGGTACTTGATAGAATCTCACACTTGCGTTTTTGCAAATAGGATAAGGACGGAACTATTAGCAAAGCGGATTGTTAATGCAAAGTAATAGACAGTAGTACAATGCCGTCTAGGGAAGGGCTCATTTGTTCGATTTCCATCCGGAGCTGTGCTTTCACAAAAGCATTGGTCAGTTAGCTGCTTAAAGCTTCGGAAAAAAGCCTCACTAGCGGGAGTTTTTGTACAAGCCCTGTTTTCTCGTTTTTATGAAAATCTATGATTGAAATGTATTTAGAATTGGACAGGACTATCTGACTATGTGAAACAACTGCATAGTTGGGGAATGCGATCGATTCTCATCTTTGATCCGGCTATTCAAGTCGATTACGAGTCCTTCCAGAGAGGAATTAACGCAGTAGGTGGAATGTATCGTCTCAGTTGTATTTATAATTTCTTGAGAAAAAAAATTGCGGATGAAAAGTTATTAGCTGCATATCCGACGGAGGTAGGACTTTGATTTTCTTCACAAAAAAAAATTATTCGTTGATTCTATAGCTTCTAGAACATGGAATAGAAATACTTTCGTAACACTGTATCTTTATAGAGTGCACTTAACATTATAACGTTTATCCCAAGATAATTCTTTATTTCCAACTAGACTTTTCATATCCTTACAGAATGCACGGTTCATAGAATGGGAACGTCCGGATCAAGTTATGCATTCAATCCAGGTACGTTGACAAGTTTTACCCATTTTATCAAACTGGAATGAGAATAAGTAAACGAAATCCAAATATNCTAGCCCACAGAGCCAAGCTTGCCCGCGAGTGGTGCCGACGACAGCTCCCCGACTTCATTGGTGAAGAGGAATTGTCATCCTATTTTCCAGAACTTGACTCACTTGACTCCCACGAATGGTTTCTGATTAGAAGAAGACCTGTCGAGTTTGCAGTCCCAGTTTGGAGTCCTAGAATGCAAAAGCTGGAGGACGGCTGGGAAGAAATGGAGAAGGATACCTGAGTGCCACATGCGATCAAGTCGAAAGCAAACTTTGACTTCTATTCACGCTCACGGGGGATATTTTGAAATGCGACTTCAGCATGTTGTAGCACATAGTGTTAGCTAGCGTGCATAGAAATTCCATCGTCTTTCGCAGTTGAGAAGTTTCAAATATATTGCTATAAATCGGCGCAAATAAATTTGGGACATCTGTAGATGTTCACACATAGCGCAGGCGAATCTCATAGTGGAATACGCCGCACACTCAATTTTCAAAGCAAATGACCCTGGTATTGAAATTCAGATGCGCGACTAGTGATGAGGTGATTATAAATAGGGGCGCACCTGAAGTTCCACGATCGTATGCATGCACACCGCGGTGGTAATCATCAACTGGAATTCAAACCTTGCTCTTACACTACGTGCTTCGATATGGACTTCATTCTCAGCACTGAAAGAGATTTCGTAGAGAGTAGAGAGAACTACCGCATGTCCCTCCGATACCCCTGTTTCTAAGAAACCCCTCCTGATCACATCCCTCTTCCTTCTTTGGAGCTTTACGTGATCTCTTCTACCGAGCTGTGACTCTGTAGCTAACTCAGTCAGTCTACATCCGGACCTCGCAGCTGCTGCTAAGGCGTGCTCTCCTGAACAGGGATTATTTCACATTACCTATAGAAACAATGTGGATGAAGCGATATCACCATTTCCAGGATAAATATCCCCTTGTGAAGGATACAAAAATCATGCTTGGAGTGGTATGGCCAGACCGTCACGTAGCATTTCCTGACTTTTTCGATCCAACAAACGCCACACAGAACTGGTGGATTCAAGAGTTTGCGCTTTATCAACAACAGGTTGTGCAACTTCCTTTATATTACGGTCGTAAAGAGTAGTAAGTAAAGTCGTCTGCTGTTAAGGTGCCTTTCGATGGTATCTGGATCGATATGAACGAACCGGCTAACTTCGGTACAAACGAAGCAAATCCATGGTATTTCGATAGTCCCGACCACCCAGATGATCAGCCACTGATGTGTCCGATGAACAGCACTGACGGTGAATGGGATATGCCACCATTCAAAACACATGCAGTCTATGTCTACGGTCAGGTTGGTCTCGGAAAGAAAACAGTAGAAGTTTAGAAGATTCGACCACCTAGTTCTTAGAAGAAGTTGATTCCAGGGTGCCTACTTGGCAACAAAGACGTTGTGTATGTTAGGTGTGCAGGCCAATGGAAAGGAACGATTTTATAATCTGAAGAATCTCTATGGTTGGAGTGAGGCAAAAGCCACACAGCAAGCACAACATGCGGCAACCGGGAAGAGAGGAGCTGTGATTTCTCGGTAAGATAAGAAATTCATTCGAATTTGTGCTCATTACCCACTTTTTCATACTGTGGTCGTTTCATTTTTCTTTAACTGTTTGCTCCTTTCACTAAGAAGTAGTTATCTGGAAGTTTACTGTGGTGTTTTCTGGCTACAATTTCGTTTCAACCAGCATGCAAAAGTGTTCCATGGAATTTATGGAGCCACGCTGGCAATAAATCGAATAATTTGACAAATAAGTAAACAAATAAAAATTTAGTTGAGAAAAAGAGGAAATGAATGTCTAGTCAGAAGCTAGGCACAACCGCGCATTCCCAACAAATATTTATATAGCGTCTCTGTTTAACTTCAAAAAAAAAATTTGGCACTGAGCTCGTAAGTAATCTACCCTTTCACATACTAAACTCTTCCCTCTTCTAGATAATCGATGGTCTAACTTTCACATAATCAACCTTTCCGAACTCCGAAATGAGTTCTCCAAAATTTCCAGATCAACCTTCTCGTCGTCTGGTCGATTTGCAGGCCATTGGCTAGGTGATAACACCGCTAGATGGGAAGATCTTCAGACTTCAGTCATTGGAGTACAGGAATTTAATCTGTTCGGCATACCGTGAGTGTTAAAGGAGATTCGTTGTTAACAGAGAAAACCTCAAATGAAAGACAGGAGGATAATATTGATCGCTTTAATTGATTGCAAGGAAAAAGATCAATATATCAACGATTCAGATATGTAGGATCAGACATATGCGGTTTTAACGGTCAAACAAATGAAGAGTTATGTCTGCGATGGCAACAAATGGGAGCTTTCCACTCATTTATGAGGTTTGTAAGTTTCTGTCTTCATTTCCCAGGAAAGACTAATGGGTTCCAAGATAGAACGGACCAATAAAGTTGTTCGAAGGTACGCAAGTTCTCACTCAAATAAGATAAGTTGCAAAAGAGGTACAAGGCTAGTTTCGGTTCTCTACGTGCGTTGTAGTTCCCGTCGTTACTAGCGTCCCAATCTCGGAAGCCAAGACGCATCTAGACAGCGAAAACCTTTTTCATATCAATGATATGCGGCTGGTGTCCTTTTCAACGATCGATTTCTTATCGATTTTTGAGACCAACAATATATCAATACATGAACTGTCATCAGGTGAAAAGGCACCTGAAGATACTAATTAGTCCGGCAAAAGAGAAAGAAAGAAAAGACGAGTTCGAGTTCCGTCCGAGACTGTAGTTTTGTCCATAAATTGCCATCCTTGTGAAACTCGGCAAAANCATAAACCCAGTATTCCGCCACTCCATATTTTACCTCCTCTCATGAATTGAATATTTTGTAGGAATCACAATTCGGATGATGAACCACCACAGGATCCGGCTCTGTGGCCTAGCGTGGCAGCAGCAACGAAGAAGGCCAATCTTTTCCGATACAAATATATGCCATATCTGTTCAGGTAAGAAAACCATATTATAGGGTGTTATCACTCGCTTAGCATGGAAAACAGACCATTTAGATCGATCTCGAAGAAACGTAGTCATCCCCAAAGTCCCACTTGAATCCACAAACATCTACCCGCCTTTTATAAGGCCATATTAGATAAAAGCAGTACTTGGAAAAAAAAAACACTAGGGGATAGCCAGAGTACTGCTCGTCTCGCTTTACTCACAAAAGAGAGTTTTGTACTCGTTTAAATGGGATAGATACTGTTTAAGCGCAAGGTGAAGACACCAAACGTTCCCTTTTCCTCCCCTTCTCCCCAGCTCTTTGCAACTGTCAACGCTCTTATGATTGGATACTGGTGGAAAGGACTAATAAGCCATCTGTTAGATGTCAGTGCTTGGCCCTGAGCTTATTAACTATGGACACATTACTCTTTATCAGTTATTATTAGCAAAATACACTCATTCACTATTACTGAATATTAGTCGCAAAGATCGAAATCTCTCCGATCTTGTAGTTAAAGAGTGGGTAGGTATGATGGTAAGGTAAACATTATTTTGTTCAAGTGATGAGACTTGATAAAAATCTCATCAAGAAGTTTGTAGCTAAAGAAATCGGAAATAAGGACCGATCTGCCTTCTCAATCCCCCAGGGTTGGAATCTGCAGAAGGGATAACCTCAACTTCCAGATGTAAAAGAGAAAATAAATGAATAAACTATAATGAAGTTATTAAACATTTTTTTATTCCAGTTTACACTTTGTTGCATCAATGTATGGAGGAACCGTCGTACGACCTTTATTCTACGAATTTCCCCATGACTTAGAAACACACGATTTAGGACATCAGTTCTTGTGGGGAAGTTCAATGCTTATTGCTCCAGTTCTTTATCAAGTAGGTAAAAGTCTAGTGACATGATAAGCGGGTGATATCGTTACCTAACTTGTTCAGGGTGCAACCTCAGTGGAAGTATATCTGCCGGAAGACGATTGGTACTCCTTGTTCGACTACCAGTACGGTCAACTTATGCAGCATGGATACCAGGAATACCCTGCTCCATGGACATCCCAAATCCCAGTTTTCGTGAGGGGTATGAAGCATACAGCGCTCTTGGGGCTTTTTTGACCAAGGATCTCATACGTGCATATTAGGTGGCTCTATCCTACCACGTCAAGCTCCTAATCTAACAACAACAGCTACTCGACAAAGCGCATTCGACCTATTGATTGCTCCCAAGACAACATGTGGTAAGAATTCAACGATTTTCACAATTTGTGGGTAGAGCATTAAAAAAAGGGCTTATCAATGGATATAACAGGAAATATTAAAGCATTTGGCGAAAATTTTGCAAAAGCGAGTTTTTTTTNTTTTTTTTCGAATGTTCTGGAAGTTTTGTGGAACTGCTATTTGCAGACACTACCCATTTGTATGTGCACAAATACCTAGCTCCCTCTTCCTTGCTTAATTAACCCTACAATGGTCAACTTTCTCCCCAAACCTGACACTACTTCTTTACGAGTTCGAAGTCAGCCACATCGCTGCTGAAGCCCATCGAAATGTGTCCTAATCAGCCTAGAAGAAGTATTTATTCGGTTATGTGCACGCCCCGTTTCAACGTTTCGAATGCGGCAACAAGAAGGACGAGGACAGTTCTTCGATCTGGTCAAGTAAATCACATTATGAGATCTCCGGACATCAGGCGCGTATAAGGAAGTGGTACCCTTTCATAGAATTTCCACGAGAAAATCCGGAACATTAATGAATAATCCTGAATTCTGTGTAAGTTTCTGTATACACCTTCCGAACATTCTGGTCATTAGATACATATGAATATTCAGATAAATTATTAGACAAATTCAACATTTTGATTGTAGATGATGATTCGACCAACGGATTCTTATACTGGGATGACGGAGAGAGCATTATCAACTCGTACGATACACATAACTACTATTACTGGACATTTAAGTATCATGCGGACAGTCAAAATGGCTATCTCTCCATAAACACGGAACATCAAGCCGTGAGTTTGCGCCCAGACGCTCCTAGATAAGAACTATTGAAATCAATTTCAAAAAGGAGTACAGATAAATAGGAGAAAAACCAATCCCCACTTTTCTTGAACCGACTTGGTTTTCACTGCGAAATTTCAGAAATCTTTGAACATTCCCACAGTCGACACGCTCGAGATTTTCAACTACAACTACTACCCAGACTTTTCAAGTTTCATGCTAAACGGGAAGAAGGTTCGTCACAGGTTCCAGAGTGTATGGTACTAGTCTCGACTCGCCTGCTGAGCGGTACGATTCCTAGCTAGTTGTCTCGCCGCGCGGCATGTCGATCGAGACCTTCAAAAGCCAATCCAAATTCCTCCATTTTTCACTCTCAGTATCAGAGGGCCATTTTCAATTTAAAAGCGAAATATTTTTACAGGTGAATATCAACGTCCAAACGTCAAGTTACAATCCTCATCAGAAGATCTTGTATATCTCTACGAAAAATCTTATTGATATTTCCGGACAAGGTTCCGCAAACCTTTCCTGGAAACACTCGTCGGGTGACAGTAGCGTATGGAACAGCAACGGAATAGATGCCGATGACAAAAAGAACTTCAAAGTGAAATATGATCTCTTCATTTAAGAGAGAGGGATAGGAAAGTGAGTGCTAGGCTGTCAACGAAGTGCGTGGCTACGTACTCCTTTACCAATGTGTTCATGTATTTAATTAAATTCAAAGACCAGCGAATAAATATATTGAAACTATCTTTTGATCACATTAAATATCGTCAGATGCCTATAAAACAACATTTCTGATATTCATTATTTTATATCTTAAACGCATTCCTAGCTATTATAGCTCTTGGCATGAGCTTCCTAACCAACACTTAGATTTTCAATACTCTGAGCAAAAGGCATCCATGTGTGAGAAAAATTGAGGTTAGAAAGTATTATTGCGATGGAAAAGGTTGCAAATAGCTTAGTCAGTCCGGAAAGAGCAGGAAATAATGCCTACGTTGGAAAGACCGCCTCCAAGTGGGCGAGTAAACTGTCGTACACACCGACGACGTCTATGAACGTAATGTGGAACGAGCAACTGAAATCCATCCAGAAATCACATTCCAGCTATTTTTCTGCATAATTAACCGAAGGGAATGCAATTCGACTACTGTCTAGACACCGCAAATGTTCTTGGGGCTAAATTGTCACAGGGTCGCTAGAGACCGACATGTAAAAAGCTTGTGATCTTTTACTTCATTGACCATAGGATGTTCTGTTCGCGAATTATCGATGGCACATGAGTACCACTCAATACATAAAGGCTTTTATCCAGTCTTCTCCAATGGGACCTCAATTCGGGAGATAGGAGGAATGGAAAGAAGTTGAGTATCGAGCGTTTCCAATCCCGTGAACACATTGAAAATTCTCGGCTTGAACGTCCTACTTGTTATCATTTTATCGACAGCGTAAATGCAAGTTGTAGAGCTCCAAAATGGAAGAGAAATTCGGGGTCCACCAAGCAAGGAGGAATTCAAAGGGTTTCCTGATGTTGGCGTGAACATCACCGGACAAATGGGCTAGAATGTTTCACTGAACAGATTACAACTAATAGAAAGTCAAGCAGGTTTCTCATTATGACTTAAATAAGGAGATTGCTGCCGTAAACGATGAGAACACTCAACTATTTTTGGCTGAAAAAATGCCATCGATAAGCCACAAACACCTTCCGTTCAGTTCGATGATTGGACGGCACAAAGACACCAAGACGTTTCCGAATGAGGAAACCATCGATTTCTGTTAAGATCAAGTCACACTTCCATCGTAGAATGGTACACAAGGTCTCGAAAACACTTGTAAACAGATTTGCATACTATATGTGTTATTTTGAAAACTGTTTTATTGTTCCAGTGCAAAAGTGCAATCACGTGACAAGGACACCCTGATTGTGCATCAGAGAAGCCCGAGTATACCGTCCGTCTGCCTGTTCTTCTATATGAAGAACCCATCTTGTTAGTACCTCATTTAGAGGGCGTTTATTCCTAGCATTTCAGCCCTTCCTACTTATTCTTCTTCGCAGACTGTCGAGAACATGTGAGATGTGAGATCATCTTCAGAATGAGGGATGAGCTGATTCTGGTTGTCGCCGCCCTTATCGCTCAAATGCGAGGCGATGTCGTACGTATGGACTGCCATCCCGAGCCCGATGCCAGCCACGAGAAGTGTGGAGCTAGAAACTGCATATGGCAGCCGTCTTCCGAAAAGGAGGTGAACAAGAAATCTTGTTAGAGTTTGGAAGGAAATCACAATACAGGGGTGATTTTCTGGATTAAAAAGTTATTTACAGAAGAACATGCCCTGGTGCTTCATGAAGAAAGGTATTGGCTACCGCAATGTATCTTCTGCAGGATCGGTTAGTGACAGGATAGTAACTTTCCATACCCTCCACTTGATCCGACTAGTTTCTCTTTTCTTTTCTCCCATACCAACATCGTCGTCGGATTTCTGGCTTGCTCGATTACCTCCAGCCATTTCTGGTCCATTTCTTTTCCTTGGATTTAACTTTCACCTATAAAATCTACCGTTTCGGTTTACTGTTTTCTCATTTTTCATCGAATTTCCAGGTGATAACATTGAGGAAAAACGGCGGACCACGAAATCCCTGGGGAGATGATATAAAGGAAATACTGTTCAAAACTGACACTATAGGGAAAACCTTGAACGTGAAGATATTCGTAGAAGGAAGGTAACGTTTTTCCCTCTAATCAACTCTTTCGGTATTCTATTGGTTCGATTCAGATTCGAACCTCCTGTCAGCTTACCACGGAAGCCCTCCGTTTCTGCCGATAGTCTGCAGGTAAGCCTTTCGATTTACTGTCGAATTTGGTGCTCAAACTCGTCGATCACTTCCGTTTTGGGATTCTGTGAGATATGCATTAGAACTCTACCCAGACATGTGCGGACGTTTGGTTGCATATTCATCTTATGCAATGACACGCGAGCTACTGCTGTCAATTTAAAGCTTTTGCCCACTCCTAGGAATCCAGAACGAAGTGACTGCCCTCTGGCGAAGAAAAGCTGATTCGGACTGGGCGGTGTCGCCGGTGCCGTGTCNTCCGTTTTGGGATTCTGTGAGATATGCATTAGAACTCTACCCAGACATGTGCGGACGTTTGGATGCATATTCATCTTATGCAATGACTCGCGAGCTACTGCTGTCAATTTAAAGCTTTTGCCCACTCCTAGGAATCCAGAACGAAGTGACTGCCCTCTGGCGAAGAAAAGCTGATTCGGACTGGGCGGTGTCGCCGGTGCCGTGTCACTTCCTGACCATCGATGTTACCCCATCTGTCACTATCCCATCGTCCTCTTCCACCAATCGACCCCCAGTGAAAAACGTTTCAACGAAAGACATTGCATAAACAGTCTCATCCACGTACATGGGCAACAACATAGCTGGTATCGCAATTATTCTTGCAAAATAGAGGTGACCATAATCGGCTAGGATCCGTAGAACCCCTCAATGTTGGAGAGGAAGAGAAACAGTCAAAGACTCATTGCGGGATAAACAGTAAAAGCCTCAAGTAAAATAAACTCCTAATCGATTGAACTCTCCTAGCGTTGAAAATAATAGTGTTTATAATAACAATAGTAAAAAGTAATATGACAATAATTGCAGTAACAACACTAGCAAGAAAACTCTTGATTTTCTGGTAAAAGCGGGAGGCTATTTGGAAGCCTTCAAAATGGACATTTTCCGCAGAACCGTTCTCCTCAAAGGAATCATTCATATTAACAAATTTGTCCAGACCGGCCTCTTATGGTTTTCATTGAGTAACATAAAAATTTTTTGTTTCCTGTGCAACCCTTTCGAAACATATGTGGCTTCTTGCCCTTTTATCTAGCATGGTGATAAGAGTTCATGGCTACTATGGTGAAAAAAATTATGAACTGTGTTCAGAATCACGACCGCACATACATATAGTTTGAGTAGTAATACTTACTTCGGATAGCAAAAATCGGTCTCATAGGGATGGCGATTTATGGACAAAACTTAAGTCTTTGACAAGACTCGAACTCGTACCTGTGCTTTCCGGGCATCGTGCTCTATCCCCTTCACTACCGAGACCCCGCTTACCCTCGCGTTCTTAATGGCTTAGACGCTTGATAGTGTAAGGTATAGAGCACGGGGCCCGAAAAGCACAAGTACGGGTCCGGGTCCCTTCCGAGGGTGAAATTTTGTATATAAATCGCCAACCTTGTGAGACTTTCGCTTCGCGTACTGCGGCGAAATAACAGCAGTTGACAAAACATCAAGTCAAAGCGAAGGTTGTCTTTTCTCATGCTTTACTGACCCCCAGAAGTGGAGCTTGGTATTTCAGCTACACACAGCCATTTCCGACGACGTATTTTATTTTATCATCAAACGAAAATCTACAGGAAGACGACTATTCGACACATCGTTAGGTCAGTGTAGACAACTAGATTTGCAACACTCATTCAGGGTACACTGCTCTGCCCGCGCACGGAAAGATCGCGCGTTTTTCCATCCAAAGGTAGCAAGGACCAGGGAGCAAGTCAAAGGTCTATTATACGAGTAGCTAGATTTTTTTTGCAGGAGGTTTAGTGTTCTCGGATAAATTCATCCAACTGGCCACTTATCTACCATCGGACGCAATGTACGGATGGGGAGAAAACGTCCATCCTACTTTGAAGGTTCGTTCAATGTTCGTTTCCGTATATAAGTCTAGACCAGGACACTAATGGTATTTCAGCATGACTTCTCCTCTTACCGTACATGGGGAATGCTGGCCAGAGACGAACCACCGAATTCGGCCGGACTGGACACTAAAAACCTTTATGGTAATTCTTCTCATCTTCAGAACAGTTCGAATCCCAGATCGATATCCGCCCAGGTCAACCACGCCTTCCATCCCTGCGGGGTCGGTTAATTGGTGTCAGACTCGCCTGGGAGGATAAAAGCACTGACTTGTACATCAGCTGGCCACAGCAATTCATTGCATGGGCCACATACGCACTCATAACGCCACTAAGATTCTATATAGAAGTCGAATGCGGGGGCGCATCCCTCAGACGGGATTAATTAACGCCAGAGCTTTGTCCTTTTCACTTTTATCTTCAGAGCAGTAGGACATCCAGGGGACATAACCAAATCTCAAGGTAGAGCTTTTTTCAGGAGTACATCCCTTCTATATGATGCTCGAACCAGACGGCAATGCCCATGGTGTGTTTATTTTGAACAGTAATGCACAGGTATAGCTTACTGAATGATCACCTGCTCCGGATGTGGTCATGGAAAGCTTAAAAGATCTAGTTTAGGAAGTGACAACAACACCGGGACCGGCACTGATTTATCGTACGATTGGTGGGAACTTGGACATGTACTTCTTCCCTGGACCAAGCCCTGAAGAAGTCACACAGCAATACCTGGCCCTTATTGGGACGCCTTTTCTTCCAGCCTACTGGGCCTTAGGCTACCAAGTAAGCGATTCGCATATCCCTTTAAAAGCTAATTTTCGCTGACTCTAGTATTTCAGATATCGCGGTATGGGTATGAGGATCTCTATGAAATGAAAAGAATAATACATAGAAATATCGAGAGTGAAATTCCACTGGATACGGTAGTAGCCGATATTGATTATATGGACAGATATAAGGATTTTACGATAGGCCGAGTATGTTTCTTAACACTGGCGCTTTCCACAATCCTCGAAACTTATCACAGGGATATTCCGCAATGATGAGTAAAGATAAAGAGGTATCAATAAAGATAAAATGATATCACTAGCCTTCACAGTTTCCAGCTCATAGGGGGGGGGGGGGGGGTTTGTATTCAAAATTCACAAAGTCATTCAGAATTGGACAGGAATATCCAACTACGTGAACAGTCTGCACAGCCTAGGAATACGAACAATTCTGATTTTCGATCCGGCTATACAAGTGGACTGTGACGCTTTTCAAAGAGGAATTGATGCGGTCAGTTACTACTCACATTAAATATTCTTATATTTACTCAAAATCAAGTAGAGCGGAACATTCCAACAAGATTTCTCACAGAAAAAAAGGAAAGCGAGTCGAAAGTACTATAAAGTTACATAACTTCATTTTTTTCGGGAAGAAGTTGTTGGGAGCTATTTACTCCATTTCATTTCATCATACAATTCATATCACATATTTAATTATTTAAATTATTTTTATGACTATTCTCAATGATATTGTGTTTTTAAATATCGACATTTGCTTGGATTTTGTTAATCCTTATACGCTTACAGAATGCACGGTTTATAGAATGGGAACGTTCCGATCAAGTTATGCGATCAATCCAGGTACATGGCTTATTCGTATTCTATTGTATTACAACAAGTTTATGGTGGGTGGTAAAACCAGACTCCGCCCACAAGGGGCGGGGTTTGGGTGAAAATTCATAATTCTGTCCCAATGGACCTAGAAAGTTCAAACTTGGTAGGAGTACAGGCGACAGGATGGGAACACTTATGGTGGGTGGCACGACCAGACTCCGCCCACAGGAGGCGAGGTTTGAGCGATAACGCATAAATCGCATAAAGGTCTGTAATGAAAATCAGCTCATGCGGCCCCGTCTCTCATGGTTAGAGCCCCTAGCGCGCGCGAGAGCGTGCGTAGCCGCCTGGTTACAACATACGGTATGTACCAGAGTACCAACTATAGAACTATATGAATGGACCTCTTGTTGTTGTTGATTAGCATTGATGGGAATACGCCACATTCCCAATATTCAGTGCTATTAACAAGACCGTTTGAATACGTATTCCGCGCATTTCGTACAACTTGCCAAACTCAATAAAGTGCAAGGTACTACCTACAGATCTACAGAAAATCAATTAAATAGCTCTGGATCAAGATAGGCTTGGTTGGCCTGACCACGGTTTGAGCAGGGACCTCTTTTGACCTATTTGCTATTTATACTCACTACATGCCCCTATCGCTCCTCCTCAAAAGCTGAACCTTTGCAGGACAAGTATCCCCTCGTGAAGAATACAAAAATCATGCTCGGAGTGGTATGGCCAGATCGTCACGTGGCGTTTCCCGACTTTTTTGATTTAACAAACTCCACACAGAAGTGGTGGATTCAAGAATTTGTCAGATTCCACAAACAGGTGATCTTGCTTTTCTAGACAGCTAGATTAGGAAGTAACTTCATGTGTATTTCAAACCAGTCGGATCGCCAGGCTAACGCCGAGCTCTCCTCCTTTTTGTGTTAAAGTTGACCCGCCGCCTACACTCTCCCAAATTTAACATTTCTAGTCCAAGAAAATAGGAGCTATCGAATTGCAGCTAAACACACCGACACGCCGAAACACTTTGTGTGTTGGGTTCAGTCCCTCATATTCCAACTTGACTACGTGTTTGCACTCGAAGTACAGTCACATCACACATGGTCCGTTCCCTACATCCCCCTACGCCTACGCTTGATCAATTTCATTTATTCATAAAATCCTATAAGCGTTCTCGAACAGTAGTTGCTCCTGTGATTTTTCTAACTGATTACACGTTATACATATTTTGCGGCTTTTTTGATAACACTACTGGTAAGGCGGAAACACTGCCCACAAATGCTCCTCTAGAGCTTCCTCATGGGCTGGAACAAAATTCACGGAAAACGACCTACCACTCCTCGCGCACATACGGTCCATAGAATCTTCAGCCAAATAGACTCCAGCAGAATTTCGTAAAAAATTTTCGTAGTTACTGAGCTCTTCGTGCCGTCTGGAGAAAACCCAAAACCAGCCCACCGAATTCTGTAAAACATTTATAACAGGACTGTATACGTGATAACGCTGAATTAATATTCTCTAAGGTGCACTTTGACGGTATTTGGATTGATATGAACGAGCCGGCCAACTTTGGCACAAACGAAGCGAATCCATGGTATTTTGGGAGCGATGACCATCCAAACATTCAACCGCTAATGTGTCCGATGAACGGCGAATGGGATATGCCTCTATATAAAACTCATTCGGTCTACAAATACGGTCAGGTGCGGTCTCGAAACGAAATCTAGAGATCTAAAAAAATCATGACTAACTCTGTCAATGGCTGTTCAAGGGGGCATATTTGGCTACGAAAACACTGTGTATGTCAGCCGTACAAGCAAATGGGAAGCAGCGATTCTACAACTTGAAGAATCTTTACGGGTGGAGTGAGGCGATGGTAACACAGCAAGCACAGCATAAAGCAACTGGGAAGAGAGGAGTTGTGATTTCTCGGTAAGACGTGTAGTTACTTTAAGTTCTTGCACATAGCAACTTTACAATGATTATATAATTCAAACGTTAGCATATTTAAGTAACTGTTGTTAGTTCTAGATATTTATTTTGAAGAGAGATGCAGACATAGAATTACTAACAACTTTTCTTTCGGCCATTCTCTTTTCTCCAATTTCTATTCGTTCAACGTGTCATAAAAGTGAATAGACTTAATAATCGGCTTCTGGTGATGCACATGAAAAAGTGATCCGTTCTAACGAGCTCCACCAAGAGACGACTGCTTTCAAGAGCTACAAAAGAAAACTAACTCTTCATAGCTTCCGTGAAGGTTCATAAAACCTTGGCCGGGTAGCTCCGAACTTTTCCAGATCAACCTTCCCGTCATCGGGCCGCTTCGCTGGACACTGGTTGGGAGACAATACTGCAAAATGGGAAGATCTTCGAACTTCGATTATCGGAGCACAAGAGTTCAACATGTTCGGTATACCGTAAGTGCAATGTTTGTACAATAATTCATAGCAATACTTGTTGCAAACAAATATCGCACATATTCAAAGAGAAGGATAACAATTGTTACATTGAGGTATGTTGGGTCAGATATCTGCGGATTCAATGGAGAAACAACTGAAGAATTATGCTTACGATGGCAACAAGCAGGCGCTTTTCATCCATTCATGAGGCAACTTTTATATATCCTAAGCTGGTTGTTTTTTCTAATGATAACTGATATAAACGAGCCCAAAAATCGCAAGCTGGTCAAAATCAAATATCATGTTTGGTAATGAAGAAAAGTATCAGCTTCTGTTAGCCTCGTTGGACACAATCAACGATACTACTATTCGGCAGCCGTTCATATCAAGAAATCGCCATTTATTTCTTGGTCCCACTAGGGAACAGAATTCACTTGCATTCAATTGAATTTTTCTGTGTAATTTTGAAATCTGAAAATTTCGATCCTGGGATCTGTAATAATAATAGTAATAGTAATTTTTAACATCTTGGCAGCAGGTTTTAAGTCTTATAGCAATAGTAATAAAAAAGTAAAATAAGCATTAATATTGATTTTAAAATAATTCACCCAAATTACTATTATTATCACTATTAATATCAATATTGCTGTTGTTATCATTACTACTAATTGGTAAGATCGCTACTTTTGCATAAAGTTCTTCATAAGTAATAAGCGTCGGGTATCATGAACCATGAGCGGCAGGAACGATAGGCAAAGCTAGGAAGCCGAGAAAGACGGTTAAGGCTCATTGTCAGGATAAATTCGCCATTTCACATCAAAGAAGCTCTTCATATCTGAATGAAAAGTAGGGGATTCCCAGATTTCTAAGTGAAATTTTCCAAAAGAAAAAAATAGAAAAAAACTGAGAACATCTCTCACGAAAACTGGCTCATCTTGCTATTTCTAGAAATCACAACACAAAAGGAGCATCATCGCAAGACCCCGCTCGTTGGTCAAGCGTGGCTGCGGCGACTCGAAAAGCAAACCGTTTCCGATACAGATACTTGCCATACCTTTTCAGGTAGGAGAATGAAAACAATGTATAAGGATTGATTTTAAGGCAGTGGTACATCAAGTACCTTCAAAAATCGCTAATAATAGTAAAATTTCTCAGCATGATAGATGCTTCACACAATAACGGAACAGAGATGGCTTCCGGTGCGCTTAAATATTAGGAGAACCTCAAGTAGTGGTTTATAAAGACATTTTGAAGAATGACTATAATGGACGATGTAGGACCATAGCTCAAATACACTGTCTTTAACAATAGCTCTGAGAATGAGAGGTTCAGAGGTGATCTACTTTTCAAGATTCGTTAGTGCATCGGATTGTCTCAGGCGGACAAGGCGAGTAGCCATTCGTAACGATCTTAAGTGAAAAGTATCGAAACATCGCACAAAAATGATTTTTCATGAAGCAAATAAACAAATAGTAAATAAAAAATATAATAAAATAAATAAGTAACAATTAGCACAAGATTTTCAATATTCAGCTTGCACTTTGCTGCTTCGAAGATGGGAGGCACGGTTGTGCGCCCGGTGTTTTACGAATTCCCCAAAGATGTCGGAACACATGATTTAGGGTATCAGTTTCTTTGGGGACGTTCGATGATGATCGTTCCCGTTGTACATCCAGTGAGTAAAAAGTTGTATCCAGTGATGTTTATCGTATTTTTTTCATCAAATGCCCTTCAGAACGTGTCGGCTGTCAGAGCCTATTTACCAAAAAGCGATTGGTTCTCGATATACGACCACAAGTACGGTCAACTGATGCAACACGGCTATCAGGAATACCCTGCCTCATGGACGTCATTGATTCCAGTCTTTGTCAGAGGTCGTATTGACACATCTATTCTAAACTTCACATTTTCGCAATATATCGACGCTTTCCGTAATAAACTGGTGTTCGCATCCCATATACACCTTTGTGGACGATATGAGCGGTTGGGATATCAATCATGTAATGAGGTGCAACCATAATGCTCCACCTCATACAGCTATACGTGTACCATCTAATCATTGAATAAAGCTTGTCTCAGCCACGCCCAAGGCAGCTTCCTCCAAAGCTGACAGCCACGACCATAAATGTTCTACGTGAATACCATTACTCCTGTGACAGTTTAGGTGGTTCTATTCTCCCACGCCAAGCGCCGAACATGACCACCTCTTCTTCTCGACAAAACGCATTCGAGCTACTGATAGCACCCAGTACGTCGTCTGGTACGCATGGACGTAGCTGTTCATTTTCTGGAATTTGTCCACCAGTTTTTCTTTCAAAAAAAGATGACTTTTGCGTGATAAATCATTTCACTATGCTCATCTTAGATCGGAATACTGCCACCGGATTCCTGTACTGGGATGATGGCGAAAATGTGGTCGAGTCTTTTGAAACGCACGATTACTATCACTGGTCATTTGAGTACCATGCTGATAGTCAAGGTGCACACCTCTCCATAAAAACGGAGCACCTAGCGGTACGTTCTTTCAGATAATATTGTAGAATAAGGAGACAAAGACGTAAGTGAAGAACTTCGTTCGATTCCATTTCGGCTCTCATCATTCCCAAAAGTGGAGGAGGGGTAGGGTTGCGTAGCACCACAACCACACTTGTATTCAAGGATCAAATCAAGGCGCATCAGGCCAACTATGCGGTCTGTTCTCCGAGGCGGACCGTTTGGTACCAAAATTTCTATTAGAATGATCTAATCTGATCTGACGATCATCGTCTGTATATATAACAACTAGCCTCCATCAGAGCAGTATTCCAAGTCTGCTTAGACGCCGAATGCGACATCACCGACATCCTGATTCTTCGTCAACACCACACCCAGAAAGAAGTCAGAGCTTTGCTTGAACACATGGACATGAAGCATGTCGATAGTCTTTCCGCCTATAGTAAATCTGCGGAACAGTTGCTTCTATGCCAACTGTAAACCGAACCGTTTACCGTTCCGACATTTCAAAAAGCCGTATCAACCGAGTACATTGCCCTTCTGCTCCTCCGTAAAATATCCTGTAGGGACGCTAGCGTGTAACCACACTTTCATAGTCAGAAAGGACAAAAGGACAGAGGGGGTCATAGCAGATGTGGAATTTGCTAAGCGAGCAAAACGACATTCCTTTAATATGGAATTTTTAGAAATCTCTAACTATTCCCACGATCGACACGCTGGAGATCTTCAACTACAACTATTACCCTGACTTTTCAAATTTCAAGCTGAATGGAAAGAGGGTTCGTCTTAAAACTTCTGAGCAATCTTCAAATGCATTTTTGACACTTCACACTATCAAAAATGTTTTTCAGGTGCATATTGACACTCAAAACTCGTATTACGACAACATCAATGGTATTTTGTACATCACTACTAAGAATCTTGTCAACATTTCTAGTGGAGGCTCGGCAAATCTTACGTGGGAGCACTCGACCCACAATTCCGGACGCAACAGCGGAAGTGTATTCCGTGTTCTAATTGGGACCACATGGCTTTGTATTGTAGCCTCCCTCATATGCCATTAATTTTACGTATATTTCTCAAGAAAAGTTGCTGAAAACGTGTTTGCATAATATTAGATACCCAGTTGGATAGCTGGCAGATTCCGGGCTCTCCTCCTTCCCTTGCAAAACGCCATCTCATCCGAATTTAGGCGCTATGATACAGTAGAAAAGGAGGTATAAACTTCCGACTAAACACACACAGCTAGCACACTTCGTGCGCGCCTCGCCCGGAGTCCTTTTTTATTCTGTATGAATTATTCTATTCATCAATCAATCTGTCATTATGCATACATATACATATGTTTATCTGCTTAAATAACATAGGTATATGCTGCACCGTTCTATTTGGAAAAATATTCAATCCAGCATTGGAGATCTTGAGATGAAGTTCGAGAAGCACATAGAATGGGTCTTATACTCAAAAAAATTCCATCAGTATAAAATAAATAGCATCCGAACAAATGAGAGGCGCATTTCAATAATGATTTTTCTTATCAGTATGTGAACTATGTACGTACCAAACAACAACAAAAAGTTAACTCCAATTCGAAAAAAAAGTTGACAGCTGTTCAAGAAACCGTGTCACGGGAACACTCGGGTGCGCAATACTCGACAACAAAGAAGAGCCTTGAAGGTTCTTCTCCCATTAAAACGAACTTGAAAATACCGCGTTCAGAGTATTCCTTGTCTTCTTCTTCGCGTTTCTCCGTCTAACTTGTGGTGACCTACGCGTTTGTGGTACGATGTTCTCACTTTTGCATGCCAACGGTAGGACGGGGGAAGTGCAAGTAACTGTATCACATGCCAAGTAAGCTCTGCTTGAGCCCCTTGGGACCGTTTTCCGTTTGAGACCAAGACCGAACATATAGAGACCATATCCATTCATGCGTAGGACGTAACTACCGAAGAGAAACTCGGCACATTTTACCAAAGCAACAGAAACTACTTGAACAGCCTCACGGTTACGAATGTGGTGCGAAGAAAAGGTTGCGGCCGTCCGGCATCTGAGTCACCCATCCACATAATAAAGGGCCAGTGGTTCGATGAGGGGTTTGGTCGATTCGCATACCATGAATCAATGAGATATCCAGAAAATAGTAATAAATATAGGACAAGTTAGAAGCGATGGGAGGTACCCCGTCCTACAATGTTCCAGAAAAATCCTTACTATATATAAGGTACTCGCGTCTGTCTGTCTATCTGTCTGTTTGTTTGTTTGCAGGAAAATTCATAACTCCTGTCCCGGTGACCCTAGAACCCTTAAATTTAGCATGATTATTGGAGGCAGTATGAGAATACTTATGGCGGATGGCAGGACCGG